ACAACAGCCTACAGCTCAACCCTTTCCGCAGGGCCGCCACCTACCAAGGAGTCACGCGACCAGTCAGTTAAGGATGCGAAGGCTGCCATGGATAAGGCATCTAATGCAGTGCGCAACGCCCGTGGCGCTATAAACAAGAAGCTGAAGAACATGGGCGTCAAGAAACTTGTGAGGCCGGATGATTTGCACAAGCAGATAGAGAAGATGGAAAAAATTGCTGAGAAAGGGCAGAAAGAGGTTAAAGAGGTTTTTGAGGGGGCAAAAAATGTTCTGTAACGCCTGTTTTTCTTTTGTAGCCGATTGGTCCGAAGGTTGGCTGATAGGAGTATGAGAGGATGGATGTATCTCGGGGTTTGTATAATAGCTACCTGGTTTGTTTATGGAGAAGTTGGGATATACGTATTACGAAGCGCTACAGCGCAGTATCTAGAGAAATGTGTATTAAATAATGACATGATAAAAATAATTGCGACCGAGATGGTGACAGTAGTATACAATTTATGAATATCTTCTAACAAAGGTACAGTACATAACATGACCAAGCGATAGAGCCCTGTTTCGGCCTACACTTTGGCCTGCACAGCCTTAGGCTTCGGCAACGACTTCGACAACACCTCCAGAAATTGTGTTTTATGAGGGGACTGCCATGTCGAATTATTTGCCAAATTTCTCAAAACATCCCTCATAACTGGGTGTCTTGCTCCATGTTCTTCCAACCAGCGCGCCTGTTCAGATTTATACTCACCCGAAACAAGTCGTGAAACCAGTTGCTGCTTCTGCGTCTCGTTCACAGGCTCGAACGACATGTCTCTGGGCTGGACCAGGGACCCCTTGCGATCCGTCAATTTATCCGCCGCGCTCTGCCGCAATTTTTCGTGCCAGCTCCACCGCCTCATTTTTTTCTTCCTCGCTGTAGAAATATGTCCATTTACCTTGATGAATACGTTGGGCCAGAAGATCCGTCGACTCGAAACCGTTGGGGTACCGCTCACTCATCCACGCTAGGCGCTCATGCAAGGCCTCCTTAGGGCCCATCACACCCATTGGCAAGGCGGGCCAAGTCCGCTGTAGGTTATCGATATTGTAACCTTGGGGGTTATATCGGACAGGTTTGGGACGGTCGCGCTCCCACTGTTCAAGAAAAGCCTTTTCATCCGCTTCCTGTTCTTCCTTGGACATCTCGCGCTGTCCAGACCACCCACTACCGTCGTCGCTTCTGGACGACTTATCCAGTTTCTTGCGGCGGGCCGGGCGGGCTGTTGCGGGGCGCTTAGGGGCTCTAGTTCCGCCGAGGTTATTCCCCGGCCTTCTCAGGGTTGCAGGAGCCCGAAGGATGTTAGTGGGCTTTCCGCCCGCTTTATTAAGCCTGGAGCCAAGAGCGCGGGCATCGAGTGGTCGACGCTGCTGGGACTGTAATTGTTGCCGTTGCCGTTGATGGGGAGGGATAAGGGGTTGTGAGTCATCAGATACACGGCGGATGAGGGGGGTGGAAGAAGATTGAGAAAAAGCTTTATCAATTTGCTTTTTGGCGATCTCGTGAAGGGAGCTTAGACGGTTTTGCTTTGCTGCACAAAAATTAAGATTAGCATCTGTCTCTCCCAATTCATTGTGACCATTACCAACAGCACAAACTATACCTTTTGAGTCTCCATCATTCTCAGATGGTCTGGTTGACGATGAAGAAAAGTGTCTGGCGGACCTGATCGCTATTGCTCCTTGATTCCATTTGCTCGATGTTGAGTCCGCGACTGCAACCCACTGGCGAACAGGTACGCCTTGTGGCTTGAGCATATTGTTGAATTAGGTACTATCGCCCAGTGGGCTTCAATAAGGAACAGCACGCAAGTGGTTCCACTGGTCAAATGGTTGAGTTGAGCAGCCGGGGCTCGTGAATGGAACCGTGCTATTGTGATTAGACTTTGCAGAGAGGACGAAGTTGGGCAGAATTTATAATCACGTGATGATGCCTCGTTTCCAGGTTGATTTCCGCGACAAAGATCTAGATAACATCGCTTATGGGGATACAGTCGCTCTCAGCTCAACATAGCCTTATTTCCATTTTTATATAGGTTTCAAACTAGGAAAAGTCAATGTCGGAATAATTTCCTCCAGATCCACGTCCATTCCAGCTCCATCCTCACTCCATAGCCCAACGATACCAAACCGGACCAACTCAAACAAGCGAAACAAGAAGAATATATCTAGAAAATGCTCCGCCGGAAACCCACAGCGTTAGCCATTACCACCGAAGACATAATCGCCTTCGAAGAAGCGCGCCTGCGCCAACAACAATTAAAAGAAAACAATAACAACCAACAAACCTTCGCAAATAGCACGGGTAGTAGTGGAGTCGGTGGCTTCCAATCCAGCTCAGTCACGTATGATCCTAACGACGAGTTGAAGCCGCTACCTGGTGATAAGGCGCGAATTGTGCGCACGCGAGATGAAAGGATTGGGTTGGGGAGGGCTCGGTGAAAGCGCTGTCCATCTTTTCTATTTTCTCTGCTTTGATTGGGGTGATCGAGAATGGGGATGGGCCATAACTCGTTCGAATTTTCTCATTGGCTTTGTGTCAGACTTAGCGCTGCCCGTGGACAGACATAAGAGTTTTCTCTTGTCCTCTCTGGGGCGTTTAGCCTTGCGAGTTGGCAGCGGGGAGGAAGGAGCCCTTGCGGAAAGCAAACGAGATCGGAGGTGTCGAAGTGGAAGCGGAAGCGGTAGCGCGGAGCATGGATGTGTCAAAGCTCTTCTATCCACCAAGCGCGAACGAGATAGGACTGCTTACACTAGAAATCGGTATAAAACAGTATGTGGGCTGGGCCTTGGGAAGAACGAAGGAAGTCGTTTTCGTTTAGCCACCGCTAGCTGGGGAATCGCTCTGTGGCAGTCGCAAAAGTCGGTACGGGAATCACTGAATCAGATTTTCTTTGCTGCTCGAGCGCGGAACAGGCTAACTATTGTTTCTGGCCCCCCAAGGCCGAATTATTTCTTCCTCTGGAATGTGCGCGTCGAATTATCTGGATGAGCGACTGTGCTTCCCATCCCGTTATGAACGAGCGAAAAGGAGAAAATACGTGGAAAGGTTGAGGGATCTTAGATGGCAACTGCCAACCACTTCATTTCGGCTTTTCTGGGACATGAAAAGTCCGCTGGTTTTATCCTGCGGGG